TGTTGGACTAAGGGCCTCCGTCCCTCAGTGACTGGTGTCTGGAGGCCTCCCTGTGTTCCTGGCCGCGTGGGTCTCTCCAGAGTAGCTGATTTCCATCAGAGAGAGGGAGCGAGACAGCAAGCGAGGCTGAGGAAGATGGAAGCCAGAGTCTGCGTAGGCTCGTCCTGAAAGTGACGTCGCACCACCTCCCTTTGTAAATGGCTTTAGTGAGATAGAACTCACATACTGAGATCGGCTTCTTTAAGAGTATTCAGTTCGGTGGCTTTAATACATTCACGGTTGTGCCTCCGTCACCACGGTCCACCTGCGAACATCTTCGTCATTCCCAAAAGAAACTCTGTACCCACTAAGGATCAACACATCCTGCTGCCACCACTGCCAGCACAAGCCACCGTCTACTTCCTGCCTCCATAGATTTCACATAAATGAAATCATGTAATACGGAGTTTTTTAAAAACCGGCTTTTGGGAACCAGCAGTTAGCGTAATGGCGATGTCGCTGGACTCTCACGTAGTCGACCGCGGTTTGCATCTCGGACCCGGTGGCTTAAAACTCACGCCGGCGCATGTGCGTGCATGCCCAAGATCCCAAGAGGAGAATGGAGGAGAAGGGATTGCGGTGTGACCATCCCCCCTGGGGGGTGATTTCTCACTTTCTGTCTCTATGTCTCTGTCTGTCTGGCGAGCACACATGCCCTGTAGCGAAAACGTCTCCAAAAAAAAAGGCTTTTTTCCCGTAATGTTTTCAGAGATCGTTCTTTATACAGAGGTAATATTTCATTGTGTGGTCGTACCACAGTTTGTTTATCCACTCGTCAGTTGATGGGCATTCTGGGTGGTCTCCCTTTTTCTGGATACTATGAATAATGCTGCCATGACTGGGAACATTGGCATCCAGGTTTTCCTGCAGACTTTTATTTTTTTTTTAAGTTTTTGTTATAAAGTGCATGCACCCACCAGAGAGAGATAGAAAGATACAAAAAGAGAGGGAAGGTGAGAACTCACCCTCCGGGGGGTGGCCACACCACAGTTTCTTCTCTTGTGGATACGTGCCCATGTGCCCAGTATGATTCTCAAGCCACCGGGTCTGGGACTCAAACTGTGGAATCGGCCATGTGGGATCCAGTACTCTAACTTCTATACCACCTGCTGGCCCATAGACAGAAGTTTTTATTCCTCTAGAGTTTATACCAAGAGTAGAACTGCTGAGCCATGTGGTTAAAAAAATAAAATGGACAAATTCAGTGTGGTAAGGATGCCCTCCTGTGTTTCCCTTAAGCATTTTTATAGTTTCAGCTCTTAAGTTGAGACCTTTGGTCCATTTCGAGTTAATTTTTATACATAACGCGAGGTGAGGACCCGCCTCTGTGACGTGGGTACTCCGTTTTCCAGCACCATTTGTTGAACACATCCTTTTCAGGTCCTGGCACCCCCGTCCCCTCGGTTTTTGTTTTTTGCTCATTTTAAGATGGATCTCAGCAGGCGTGTGCCTCAGCCTCCAGCTGGGACTGCAGGCATCAGCACCATACCTGGCTCTGTTTTATATATATATATATATATTTTTTTTTTTAAAGAATTATTTTATTTAACTTTATTTGTTTGTTTATTTTAATTTGACCAGAAGGACAGAGAGCGAGAGAGCGAGCAAGCCAGCAGGGCCGTGACTCGAACCACTGTCAGCCATGTAGGAGTCCAGCGCCCTTCACCACGCCACCTGCTGGCCCCTGGCTCTGTTTTAGGCAGGGCCTTGCTGTCTCCCTGGCCAGCCCTGAACCTTACACTTCACCCTCCCAGAGTTGCTGGTGTTACGGGTGCACGCCATACCGTGGGTCTGTATGTTGAATTAGGAACGGGACCTGGGCCTCCCATGTGGCCCCAGCCTGTGGGTCCCAGCATCTTAGTAGCATGTGCCTCCCTCTGTTCCACGTCAGTTTTTGCTTAGAGTTGATTGACCCAGAGATCCTTAAATACTGTTTTCCGTCCTGGTATAGAGACCTTTACCCAGAAAATGTGCCTTAGGCTAAATACTTGGACACATAAACACTGTATTTACAATACTTAGTAATTATATATACACAGAACCACGTTTTGAAACCACTAATATAAGCTTACACTTATATAACCTTTCTTTTTTTAAAAAAATTTTTCTTGGCACTTATATTTTTGTTTTCTTCTTACAGTACATAAACAGAGGAAAATTGCAGTGGTCCAGCCAGAAAAACAGTAAGTAATGTAAGAGTTGGCCAGCGTGGCTAACATGTGAAAATTAGAATATCTAGAAAAAGAAATTACTCTTTCAGAGTGCATATGTGCTCTAGACGTCTACATTCGTTACTTTATTATTATTTTTTTTTTGAGAAGTTTTTCACTATAGGGCGCGTGCGCTTGCCAGACAGACAGAGAGAGACATAGAGACAGAAAGCGAGAAATCACCCCCCAGGGGGGATGGTCACACCACAATCCCTTCTCCTCTGTTCTCCTCTTGGGATCTTGGGCACATACGCACATGCGCCCGGCGTGAGTTTTAAGCCACCGGGTCTGGGACGCGAACCACGGTCGACTGCGTGGGAGTCCAGCGACATAGCCATTAGGCTAACTGCTGGTTCTTTATACAGAGGTAATATTCGTTACTTTCTCAGATGGAAACATCATCTTTGTCTTTCCTTTATTGACATGTGCTTGCCAGAGAGAAAGAGAGAGAGGGAGAGAGGGAGAGAGAGAGAGCGAGCATACACGCGTACACACACGCACTCGCCAGTGGGGCGTGGTCACACCACAATCCTCCATGCAGGGCTTTGAAGAAGCAGTTAAGGGGACCAGCAGATGGTGCAGTGGTTACTGCTAGACTCCCATGTATTCTACCATGGTTTAATCCCTGGACCTGGTGGCTTAAAACTCAGGTCAGGCGTGTGTGCATGCAAGTCCAAAATCCCGAAAAGAGAATGGGGGGGAGGGTTGCAGCATGGCCATCTCCCCTGGGGGGTGAGTTCTCACTTTCTGTCTCTCTGGCAAGCGCACCTGCCCTGTGGCAAAAATCTCTCTTTAAAAAAAGAGCAGCAGTTGATTAGTGGTGTCTTCAAATCTGAACAACGCAAAGGCTTCTGTGCGGATAGGTGTGTCTTTACGCATTGTATTTGGAATTCTATATTCTGCTATAGTTTGCTATAGTCCGCTTGAACTGCCACTAACCACACACCACAGACTAGGTACCTTAAACCACAGAAATTTATTTTCCCACATTCTGGTTGGCTGGGAAGGTCAAGACTGTGCCAGTCACTTTGGTTCCGGGCGAGGACTCTTCCTGGCTGCCTCCTGCCTCCTTACTTGGTGGAAGGATCTAGTCTACCCCAGACCATGGGCACGCACATGCCCACAGTGCTCAGGAAGGTCTCTCGATACAAACCCAGAACCTCCCCGTGTGGCTCAGCCTTGCGGAATATCTTATTTTATGCCACTGTCCTGGTCCCCTAAGGCCATAAAATTTTATCCCAGATAGAGAAGAGAGGTGGGAGTGACTAAAGGCCTGGCCTTGGGTTTTTCCTTGACTGGGTTGTCATGGCTGACCCAAAGCTTTAGTCAGGAAGCATTCTAAAAGGGAAAATTAACCATTTTCTCAGTGATTGCTGTATACAGAAAGAAATGTTTTGTTTTGTTTTGAAATAGCATCATTTATCTTTAATTTTGAAACTGGTAGAAGAAAAATAGACTCTATATAAGAAATGTTTCTGTTCTATGACTGTTGGAAAAAACGAATAGTTTATTTGGGATGGAAGAATCCCGGGAGAAATTTTGTCATTTCTTGCTGACATGAAGGGACAGAAGATCCATTTGAAGACGAGGTCATCACAGTGCCATGTAGGGCTGGCCGTGGCTCGCGGGGCCCCATACACGGTTTTAAAGCACATGTGGATTGACTGGTTTGTTCTCTTTAAAGTATGATTAAGGACGTATCTTCAAGGATAGATTTTGAAGCCTGAAACACTGCCTTTCATCTTTGAAGGAGGTGCTGGTATGACTGTCTCACTATTTTCTGTGTTTTCCCGACCCAGAGTCCCATCTTCCAGGACTGTCCATGAGGGCCTGAAGAACCAGGAGCTGAACGCCACAGACTCAGGTAGAACATGCGCACGCGCACAGGAGAGGGGACTTGGGTCTCTTTTAAGGGACCTTATCTGCAAGTAAACAATGGCCCACTTATTGAAAGTGGGCCACTGCTCCTCCAGCCTCACAGGGGTGAGGCCTTGGCTCTCCTGCTGCGGCATTCGCCCCCTCAGGGCAATCCTTGGGCAGATGTGTGACACCCGGCATCCCAGCAGCAGGCGCAGGAGTGCCTTATTTATTTATTTATTTATTTATTTATTTATTTATTATGTTTTTTAAATCACCGGAGGTTGTACGTGTGCACCATAGAGAAAGAGGGAGAAAGCATCCCCAGTGGGGTGTAGTCACACTGCAGTCCCTCCTCTTGAATTTCTCCATCTTGTTGGAATTTGGGGCCTGCACACACACATGCCCATCATGTTTTCCAAGCCACTGGCACCAGGATTCGAATTGCAGTTGGCCATGTGGGATCTGGCTCCCCTAACCACTAGGCCATGGTGTTGGCCGTGAGTGCTTAATTCTGAAGAGGAGGCTCGGGGTGGCAGAGTTCAAGTGGAAATGTGGGTGCCAACTGTGTTAAGACTGCATTCTTAATTGTTTGAATTAAGAGAGTATGAATGTCGAGTCCTATCATACCCTTCCTTAATGTTGACTCGTGGGTAGTGTTCACTAGAAGATCTTCTTTCGCTATGTCAACAATAAAGATGCTTTAGTATCAGCTGCTGAGAAGGCTTCAAGAGATTTTTAAAAACATTACACTAGGCCAGCTGGTGCCATGGTGGTTGGGGTGATTGAGTCCCACATGGCCAACAGCATGGCTCAAGTCCAGACCAGTGGCTTGGAAGATGTACCAGGCACGCGTGCATGCATGCATGTCCAAGAACTTGAGAAGAGAATGGAGGAGAGGGCACTGTGGCATGGTCATCCCCTGGGGGGTGAAGGAGTGCCTTCTCATGATCCCCTTGCCCCTGCCATCTCTTCATCTCTCTTCTGTGTGTGCACACACCTTATTGCAAACTAGGAACGGGGAGGGGGCAGCAGATTGTGTGCAGGTTAAGGCAGCTGTATCCCACATGGCTGACTGAATGGCTCAGGTCTTGGACCCAGTAGCTTGGAAAATACTCCAGGAACATGTGTGTGCATGCCCGAAATCTTGAGAGGAGAATGGAAAAGGGGTTGTGGCGTGGCCATCTCCCTAGGAGTGTTCTCCTACTTTCCCTTTCTCTCTCTTTCTCTGTCTCTGATGAGCTCATATGCCTTATAGCAAAAATTTTTTAAAAATTACACCAAGGTACAGTTTTCATACAGAAAGAAACAGTTGAGGAATTTCTTGGCCTAATTATATCCCACAGTCCAAAAAGAATTTAGAGATGTGGCCAAAGATGTATTTAGCCTTCTGAGAAACTCCAGAGGTTGGATAGCCTTCACAACATCAAAGACTGTCAACAGGGTTGGCCCTGTAGTGCAGTGGAAAAGTTCTGTGTAGAGGAAGCCAGCTCCCACATGGTCAACCTTGGTTTGAGTCCTGGCCCCAGAGACTTGAAAAAAAAATATGCTGGGCATGCGTACACATGCTTTGGATCCTGGTGGGATAGAGAAAAGGGGGAAAGGGAAAGGGTTGCCAATATAACAACTTGGTGATTTTTAAGGAGACAACATGTAGTTAAGGTTAATATGTGTGTGTGTGTGTGTGTGTGTGTGTATAGTTTGTTCGTTTTTGTTTTTGTTTTGTTTTGAGAGGTTTTTGCTGTAGAGTGCATGCACTTGCCAGAAAGAGAGACAGAGACAGAAAGTGACAAATCACCCCCCAGGGTGGATGGCCATGCCTCAATCCCTTCTCCTCCATTCTCCTCTCGGGATCTTGGGCACGCACGCACATGCGTCCGGCGTGAGTTTAAGCCACTGGGTCTGGGACTCAAACTGTGGTTGACTACATGGGAGTCCAGCGATGAAGTAATTATGCCATCTGCTGGTCCCAGTTCAGGTTAATGTTTGCCATCAATCCCTAGAAATATTCTAAGCCAACTATTAGTGAATAGTTTTTTTTAAAGATTTTATTTAACTTTATTTATTTTTAATTTGTCCAGAGAGGGACAGAGCGAAAGCAAGAGAGAGAGAAAGAAAGTGAGAAAAAGCAGGCCGCTAGGTCCGGGACTTGAACCATAGTTGGCAATGTGGGAGTCCAGCACCCTCAACCATCATGCCACCGGCCTCAAAAACCTAGAAAAGAAATGACTAATCTTCAGGAACCATCAGGGGTTCTTGCAGTGGGTCCTGCACTTCCTTTAATGGCAGACGTGTGGGACTCTGGAACAACATCGCGCTAACCCAGGGATTAGGCAGCATGTAACCAGGACAAGCTGGGCTTCAGCA